CAGTACTACTACAGTCCAGTGAGTAAATTCACAATACAATATTGCCCTAAGACAGATCTAACACAGTCTACATCCTATCTCTAATACACATCTGTATGTTCATTTCCCTGAACATCGGCATGTCCAGGAACTCAACTTAATATGCCTGTGCTCCTACTAGAAATGCGACTTAACCAAGGCTGTATATAAAGGAAAATGGAGTGAGAGGAGTCGAATTTCTGGATAGTTTGTAATACACTATGGGATTATGAAACAACTGCATGTGAGAATTGCACATAACTTTGCTGTGAAAATATTGGTCGATTCTAATGAATGACCTTTGGTGATTAGTTCAGGAGAAACAGTTACATACCCGACACCATCTGGTGATTTAGAACCATCAGTGTACGCTATAATAGCATGTGACCGAGATTGGAAACGATCAGGAAAGAGTTGTAGTAAGCAATTGAGCTTTAGCACATGGAAGTAGGAAAGAGCAAACATGAATCATCGGAATTTCTCAAGGAGGGAGGAAAACAGTAAGATGCAGGGTGAAAATAAATGGGAGGTCAATTAAGGGAAACCATGAGTGAATACGGAGGGGAAAGGGCGTAATAAATAGGGGCGACATTATTATTATTATTGTTATGGGAGAGCGCTAAACCCGTAGGGATTATACAGCTAAGATAATTCCCTTGACCAAGAGCTCCTTAACTGCATCAAGGCACATTCCTTTTAGGATCGTTTATCATGTTTGAAAAAATGGGGAAGCTCTAAATAAACTAAATAAAAAACTACCGACCCTTATTTTATTGTATTCATCAGAAGCACTAAACTCATAAGAGTCATATAGAGCTTTGGCAACGGACGACAGTCGGAGTCGATCTAAAGAAAGGGATAATACACAAATAAGTCGCACATAAGAAAGAGAAACTTACGATGACGTTTCGGTCCGACTTAGACCATTTACAGTCACACTAACACAGAGTTAGGTTAGGTAAGGTTCGTCAGGAAACAGGACAAGTGTCTCCTGACGCTGGTCTTAGTCAGATGACCCGCTGTTGGAGCCTTAGGTCATCTGACCGAGGCCTTCCGCTGGCTTACCGTTCCACCCCTTTAAAAATTATGGTCATAGTTATAACCATTCAGACATTATTATAATAAAAAAGAAGCGCTAAACCTACAAGGGTCATACAGCACAACATTCAGACTACAAAAGAATGAGGGAGCCAGTATATATAGGTGTGGAGGACAGGGACGGGACAAGGAGAGAATTAGTGGTAGTGGTATTATTATAATCAAAACTAAGCACTAAACCCACCAGGGTCATACAGCGCTGCGGCAGGTAATGTGGTTCCCTGAAAACTGCTTCTTATTGTACTCGGTGCACTTCCCAACTGATTATTATAATCAAAAAGAAGCGCTAAGCCACAAGGGCTATACAGCGCTGCACTTCCGAACTGAGCTATGCTCAGTGAAATTGCCTAATTAGACAAGATCACTAAATATGCAATAGTTTTTCCAGGTAATTGTAGCTTTGGGTGAACGGAAACAATGTCTAGTCAAACCTTCATTTACAACTCACGGAACTTCTTGCATTATTACCTGTCATAGGGGAGAGCTAAATGCTTAGGTGCCATACAGCACCGGGGGGGGGATAATCGGAGGCATTTAAGTTTGATCCAAGGAAGGATAGAGCAGGTTCAATTTCTTGGATCATGAGCCCCCCTCGTTGGCATGAAGGAACCTCCCTTGAGAGGAAACCTCTGGTAATATTTCCAGCATCAGAGGTCCAGCCAAATGGCAACCCGGTGCCTCACTTGACTTACCTTCACATGATCAAATTTCCATTGACTGGAGAGGCGCTACCAACGTTAGAGGCTTCTAGTGGGCTTTTTCGCTCTACCTAAGAGTTTAGTTTCACAAGGAAATTTCATCATTAATGTGACTCAATGGAGAGGGATGTGGGTGGTATTTTGATTAGATAGGTGGAAGACTAACTATTCATTATTACATTCATGGGGAAGCACCAAACCCATAGGGGTCATACAGTGACACGGAATGGAAAGCATTCAGGCTCGATTCAAGAAATTGGAACACTGGCCTAATTCCTTACATCAAGATCACCTGACCAAGGAACCTTCTCTTCTCCCATCCCCTTCCGTATAGGAGTATCGTCGCTATATATTTTTTTCCACTTTTAGTCAGGTAAAGCGCTTGTGAAGCACTTAGGTTCGATCCAAGGTGTGGCTAAATACAATTCTTGGATCAAGAGCCTCTCAACGGCATTCGGGCATTTCCCTTGAGGTGCTCAACTTTCATGGGTCTTAAAACACGACTGTTAAGGAACTCGCTATCAAGAGTCAGACCTGTGGCGATACAGGGATGGTGGTTCAATCTTTCCCCAGCTCATTTGACTTTCCACTGATATTACATTTGTAGCGCGGGAACACTAACCCTTTAAGGATTATGCATTATGGTTAAGCGCTAACTCGTAAGGGTCAGGCTATGCCAAAGGGGCTGAAGCCCAGAAAATAAAAAAATGCTGCTTCAAGCCTAGTCCCTCAGGTGCTCTTCCAACCAGACTGCCACACAAACTGTTCCTATATAAAACATCTGGAACGGCATCCGGACAATATATATTATCGTGAAGTGCCAAACTCGTAGGGGCCACACAATGCCTGGAGAATGGGAGGAAATTGGGTTCGATTTAAGAAACGGACATGCTAAATTCCTGGGTAATGAGAGGCAGACTAAAATTTACAAATCTCTCATAACCAAGACTTTCACCCTTCTCTCTGTCCGAACTGTTTTAACCTGTTTAGATTGAACAGATAAATTACTTAATTTGAAAGGCGCTATAGAAGCTTAACTACCCGTCCCCCTTCCAATAAACACCAAGGATAATTACAACGACTCGAAAATAAGAGCATTCCGGTTCGATCCAAGGAAGAACAGGTCAAGTTCGTTGGATCAAGCTCCTCACTAGGGTAAAGGAATTGCTCATGGTAAATTTCCACACTGAAGAGGTTCCACGCTTTCAATTTAATTACGACTAAAGTCTTCAAAATTGTTACGGTTCCACGCTTTCAATTTAATTATGACTAAAGTCTTCAAAATTGTTACAATCAAAATTGAGCGCTAAGACCACAAAGGTCATGCAGCGCTGTAGGGGTCGGATGTGCTAATGAAATTGCGTAGACCAAAGACTAGTGAGGGTTAGGAGTATGCAGTCAGTAAGGGTAAGAGAGAGTAACTAAGGAAAAAATATCAAATTGGTGTAAATTATTATAATCAAGGGGAAGCGCTAAACCCGTAGGATTATACAGCGCCTGGGGGGGGATGTGGAAGGCATTCAGGCTTAACTCGGGGAACTGGAGCACAGATCCAATTCCCTAAATCAAGAGCCCCTCACCAACATCAAGGAACCTTCCCCGAGGGGATTTGGTGTAAAAAAAGCAGTCGCTGATAAGTTGCTTTAAAGAGTCTAGCAACTACCATTATATTAACACTTAGAAGCACTAAAACTTGCATTGGGAAGCCAAGCAACACCCGAGAATGCAAAAAATCAATGAAGTTCAGTCCTAGGGAAGCACAGTCAAATTCCATGCCTTGAGCACTTAACCATATGGGGTGGGGGGGTAGAAGCGAATCTGAGTGATACCTAGCCAGAGGACAGACTTGCAGAATCTGAGTGATACCTAGCCAGGGGACAGACTTGCAGAATCTGAGTGATACCTAGCCAGAGGACAGACTTGCATTAATGTTTGTGCAAAGAAATTGTATTTGTATATTATAAACCTAAACTATTACTTTCAAGTAATACAAATCAGACTTAATGGCCCAGGGATTACCAAAAATGAGATGCTAAACCCAAGAGGGTGATACAGCATGGCCCAGGGATAAAAAAAAAAAAAAAAAGCCTCTTCCTCTGCTTTACCAGAAGCGGGGGATCTTTCCTCGGGCGTTTTACCATGTGTAAGAAGCGGTGGACCTGAATTTGCTGTAGTTGATTAAATTGTAGCTAGCCTAATTTGTCGTACCAGTTTAATTAGACTAATTTGTCAGTTTTTTTTTTTACCAGAAATCTTATTAAAGGATGAAATCAAGTTATGCAAGCTGGAAATGAATCTTAAAATAATCACAATTAATACGCTAAATCCAAGCATACAGCGCTGGGTAACCATACAAAAAAAGTGAACTGTAGTTTTGATATCACTTGTAAAGTCTGAGTAGTTTAATCATTGAAATTATAATCATGGGGGTGTTAAACCCACAGGATCGCACAGTGCACATGAAGTGGGGGCAAGGATGGACAGTATTCAGGCTCAATTCAGGGTACCGGAGCAGATCAAATTCTCTACTGCAAGAGCCCCTCATTAGCATAAAGGAACCTCCCTCGAGGGGTTAAACCTTTTACATTCCCATGTAGCACTAAACCCATTGGGGCCATACTATTCGATGAATGGACAAAAGTCATTCCTTAGATGAGCCTCATCAGCAATACTATTATACAAAACTAGCACAGGCTCGAGAAAAAAAAAAGCTTTAATACAGGAATACCTAAAACACTGGGCCTAAATTTGATTTAGAGGGTGGAACTGTATAGCAACTGTAAGGACAAGGTGTTCCAGCCTAGTCCAAGGAAGTATTTGTCAAAGATATCCAGGATTATTATTATAATCAAGGGGGAAGCGCTAAACCCGGAGGATTATACAGCGCCTGGGGGGGGATGTGGAAGGCATTCAGGCTTAATTCGGGGAACTGGAGCACAGATCCAATTCCCTAAATCAAGAGCCCCTCACCAACATCAAGGAACCTTCCTTGAGGGGTCTTACACCAGGAACCCCTCAGGTTTAAAGGACACCCTTGAGGGGGCATAGTTAATAGTATGGCATTTTCTAAAATTTACTTGCTATTTCATAGCCACAGCACTTGAAATTTATGAAAATTCTCAAGGCTAGGATCAAGTCCTTCATAAAAGATGCACCTCCCTGCTGAGGTTGCAAATACAATTAAAATAAGTAACTTCCATTTATTTTGTTGTAGTACATTATAAAAAAATTAAGAATATTGGGGGAAAAAAAAAATACAGTACCTACAACTTAAAGGAACAGGCAGAAGTTATAACATTAAGCCGAGAGAGTATTTGTCTTAAATTGAACATTTACTGACCGCCACGGAGCCGAAGAACCAAATGCAAAGTAGATTCTTTTTGAATGTTATAATCTGAGAGGGTGCGACCATCTTCGAGCTGCTTACCAGCAAAGATCAACCTCTGCTGATCAGGTGGGATTCCTTCCTTATCCTGAATCTTGGCTTTCACATTTTCAATGGTATCTGAAGGCTCCACCTCCAATGTTATGGTTTTTCCAGTAAGGGTTTTCACAAAAATCTGCATACCACCACGAAGCTGAAGAACTAATTGCAATGTAGATTCCTTCCGAATGTTGTAATCTGAAAGGGTATGGCCATCTTCGAGCTGCTTACCAGCAAAGATCAACCTCTGGTGATCAGGTGGGATTCCTTCCTTATCCTGAATCTTGGCTTTCACATTTTCAATGGTATCTGAAGGCTCCACCTCCAATGTTATGGTTTTTCCAGTAAGGGTTTTCACAAAAATCTGCATACCACCACGAAGCTGAAGAACTAATTGCAATGTAGATTCCTTCCGAATGTTGTAATCTGAAAGGGTATGGCCATCTTCGAGCTGCTTACCAGCAAAGATCAACCTCTGATCAGGTGGGATTCCTTCCTTATCCTGAATCTTGGCTTTCACATTTTCAATGGTATCTGAAGGCTCCACCTCCAATGTTATGGTTTTTCCAGTAAGGGTTTTCACAAAAATCTGCATACCACCACGAAGCTGAAGAACTAATTGCAATGTAGATTCCTTCCGAATGTTGTAATCTGAAAGGGTATGGCCATCTTCGAGCTGCTTACCAGCAAAGATCAACCTCTGGTGATCAGGTGGGATTCCTTCCTTATCCTGAATCTTGGCTTTCACATTTTCAATGGTATCTGAAGGCTCCACCTCCAATGTTATGGTTTTTCCAGTAAGGGTTTTCACAAAAATCTGCATACCACCACGAAGCTGAAGAACTAATTGCAATGTAGATTCCTTCCGAATGTTGTAATCTGAAAGGGTATGGCCATCTTCGAGCTGCTTACCAGCAAGATCAACCTCTGGTGATCAGGTGGGATTCCTTCCTTATCCTGAATCTTGGCTTTCACATTTTCAATGGTATCTGAAGGCTCCACCTCCAATGTTATGGTTTTTCCAGTAAGGGTTTTCACAAAAATCTGCATACCACCACGAAGCTGAAGAACTAATTGCAATGTAGATTCCTTCCGAATGTTGTAATCTGAAAGGGTATGGCCATCTTCGAGCTGCTTACCAGCAAAGATCAACCTCTGCTGATCAGGTGGGATTCCTTCCTTATCCTGAATCTTGGCTTTCACATTTTCAATGGTATCTGAAGGCTCCACCTCCAATGTTATGGTTTTTCCAGTAAGGGTTTTCACAAAAATCTGCATACCACCACGAAGCTGAAGAACTAATTGCAATGTAGATTCCTTCCGAATGTTGTAATCTGAAAGGGTATGGCCATCTTCGAGCTGCTTACCAGCAAAGATCAACCTCTGGTGATCAGGTGGGATTCCTTCCTTATCCTGAATCTTGGCTTTCACATTTTCAATGGTATCTGAAGGCTCCACCTCCAATGTTATGGTTTTTCCAGTAAGGGTTTTCACAAAAATCTGCATACCACCACGAAGCTGAAGAACTAATTGCAATGTAGATTCCTTCCGAATGTTGTAATCTGAAAGGGTATGGCCATCTTCGAGCTGCTTACCAGCAAAGATCAACCTCTGCTGATCAGGTGGGATTCCTTCCTTATCCTGAATCTTGGCTTTCACATTTTCAATGGTATCTGAAGGCTCCACCTTCAATGTTATGGTTTTTCCAGTAAGGGTTTTCACAAAAATCTGCATACCACCACGAAGCTGAAGACGAAGATCTGAATAGTGTACCTGAAAAAAAAAAAAAGTTTAGTGATAGTACTAATTTCAAGTCCACTACGGTTTAAATTTCAAACTGCGAAGGAATCCATTAGTAAAATTCTGAAGTAAATTTAAAAGTTCACCAAACCAACTTTTGCCTGTCAATATAGGGAATAGCAAATCTTATTTCATAGGTAGCAATAATTTCAACTAAAATTTGCATTTATAAACTAATATGCCTAGCTTCCTTTAAGCCTTCACAATTTTTAAGGGATTAAAATAATTCAATAAGAGTTGATGGTGTACAAAGAAGAAGACGAGTGCTTCCCTTAGTGCAAGGCTGACTTAGAGAAGAGTATCTTATTGTCCATGTTTTACCACCATTGTATATATATGTTGGCATGTACATTATACATGCAAGTTACATATCTGAAATACATTCACACACATGTATAACGATTTATTCACTAACTTATGTATGCACTATGTTAAGTTTCTTTCATACTGGTATTTTGTACAATGTGCAGCAGCATATAGTATCAAAATGTAATACTACATTTATGAATATGTACTTCACAAACCAAATTTACAACTATTAAGACAAGCATTATTTTGAAAACTAATTTTATTTACCCTTTAAATAGCTAAAATAATGTTATATACTGCACATGACAACCTATAAGGTTTCGTGGAGCCAAGGCTTGGGTTATCCTAGCTAATTTACACATTACTATGCATAATTATGCACCTGTACCTAAATGAACTTGCTAAATCTTTGGTATATAATAAATGATTTAAATGCACAGCAGTCTTAACATTTGTGGATTAACCACACTAAGTATAATTATGGGGGGAAGGGGGGGAGAAGCAGGGAGTGATGAAGGCATGGGTACACCAATCACTAGTGTCCTATAGCTTACAATAGTGGAGCACAGCAAAGCGTACTGGTTCATGTAGGTAGGTCCAACTCAAACCATCCACTCATGCCTGTCAAGACTATTTTCAAAGCTACCTGAAGTTTTCAATGCATCTGCATTATTACCAAACTAGGGCTTACCTATAATCTGCATTATTACCAAACTAGGGCTTACCTATAATCTGCATTATTACCAAACTAGGGCTTACCTATAATCTCGCTGTATGAAAATGAGACCAGACAGCTTTCAATACACTATAAAGGTTGGGACAATTTTTGCACAGCAGATTATAGGGAAAGGTAAGGAATTACCTATGTGGGGGTGGGGAGGTGGGGGGGTGGGGAGGTGGTAACCATCCGTGCAACACCAGACTGAATATGGTTGCCAATTGTATTGGTCAGTTTGTAAAAGTTCAGGCAGCATTATTGAAACTTTTCAAAACCCAGGACGACAGGATAGCACATTGGGTTTTAGATGGTGTAAAGTACTTAACTTTAATAGCAAGGAGGGAAAAAAAAATGCTTATGAACCCATTATAAGTGGCATGCCACAGTTTTCAGGACTAACATTTACATTACAGAAGGGACCGATGTACTTTATCTCCTTTATCAGAAACTTTCTGTAAACAAAGACAGGGCACTGAATTTGTGCCCTCTTTAAAAGAGGGCAAACAGGAAGAGGGGTAAATTCAAGACCAGAATAAGGGGAGGGGGGGGGGTCACAGCTTATGAAATCAACCAGTAAGATTTGCCAGTGGATTAGACTGAACAGTTTGTATGTAAAAAAAAAAAAAAAAAAACTATAGTTTGGCAAGTTATGAACGAGACACCAATCATTAAGAGAACTTTGGGTACCTTCAGAAACAGGTTTGACAGGTAAAAGACTGGATGGGTGCAGGTTTGATCTGCCTAGTACCAAAAGCAGTTTATTAATCTTAATTTTTCTTTACAAGAAAATCATTAACAGGTCTTGAAGAGGGACCTTCCCCTACTGGGCTGCCTGTTTTACGAATTTAATGGATCAACTTTAAAATCCTTTCAGATGGACTTTTGCATTGGTAGGTATATAGTACATGGGTTAAGAATGCAATAAATAATCCAACCTCACACTTCCCTTTAATACAGCACAGTACATACAATTTCCCGACTGGCAAGTTTGCTGTTCCTGCAAGATTTTTCAGGGTCAAGTAAACTGTTGCTGCACACTCAAGTCCTTCAACAGATACTATACAAGCTAATTTTAATTTTTATTTCTACGTCAGCATTAGCCACAGGAAAACAGGACATGATAAATTATAGCAGGTAATTATGATAGCTAGAAGTAATCGGAATTATTAACGCAATCTTTAGGAATAATGGTAACGAGTCATGACCATGGAGAAGCATTAACCTGTAAGGGTCAAACCATCACCTGGGCAATGATGGGTGACGATTTGATTTGACAATTGTATTAAATGCCTTGGACCAAGAGCTATATCTAAGAATTCCCCCCTTTTATATTCTGGGAGCTTTAAACCTGTAGGATTTACAGCGCCGAGGCTTTAGGCGATCGAGTTCGATCCTAAGAAATTCCATTGCTCGACTCAAACCTCCATCCAATTATTATAATAAAGCGCTAAACCACAAGAGCTATACAGTGCTGTCCCTTTATCCAAGAGATTTTTACAATTCTACTGTCACTAGTTCCTGACTAACCCATACGTAAAAGTACTTAACACCCCCCCCCCCGCTAAAAAATAAGCTAAGAGGCAAGATTTCGTTCGGATTTTTAACCCGGAGGGTTAGCCACCCAGGTTAACCCAAGAAAGCCAGTGCGTCATCAAGGACTAACTTATTTCCATTGGGGTCCTCAATCTCGTCCCCCAGGATGCGACCCACACCAGTCGACTAACAAACAGGTACCTATTTACTGCTAGGTGAGCAGAGCAATTGCTGTAAGAGAAAGTGTCGAAATGTTTCCACCCTCCAGGAATCGAACCCGGACCCTCCATGTGTGAGCGGGAGCTTTAGCCACCAGGCCGCCCCTCTACGGGAGTACTAAGAAAAAAAAAAGTTGACCTGGGATAAATCGCCTCTCACAAGGCCTTTAATTTAAAAGAAATCTGTATATTAGGCCCGTTTTAAACATACGTCTGAATAAATATTTTAGTGTTTCAAAGATACGGAGAATGTTTAAATTTTCAACGTATAACCGCCCTTTTTCCCTTCAATATATAACCACCCTTTATTTTCCTTCACTTCATCACTGGTGCCAGTAACTTGCTAAATAAAGGCGCACTAAATCAATGCAAGGTCTGCATCTAAAGAAGAAAACCACAAGTAATATACTACTTACATAAAGTTATAAGCAAACTGCTCCTCTCTCTCTTACTTGAGCACTCTCGCACATCCTCTCTCGGAGTGTGTGCTGTACTAACCCAGCCGATACGATACGATAGGACTCACAGGTAAGGACCCACGAGGGGCGAGGGGCAAGTGGGGACAGTGCGAAGAATAGATGGTGAGAGGAATGTCTTGAGTTGAAGAGAGAAGAGTCAGGACTAGACCCAACTGCTAAGCCTGGATAAACAATAACGAAGACGACATAAAAGACAACAGGGACTCTGCGGGTGCTGACTGCAACTGACTGGAAGCACTTCAACTTGCAATGACTGGATATGGTTCAGGGACACGTTGTTGCAAAGGCGACGCAAAACGCACATCGCAAGCACTTCAGCCCCAAAAACGCACAAAGACACAGCTATACGGCAATGGCATTTTTAAGTTATTTGAATTTTTAAGCAAAAGTCAGATAATTTATGTGTATTGTGGTGGAGGTGCCGGATCATTCAATGATTGAAAAAGATTTACATCATTGTAAGGACCTCTGAGAGTATCAGCTAAGTATGTAGTCCAGTAGTCATGATATGTTTCAAGTCTGTCAAGTTGTTTGTCACTAAATGTCTTCCAGTATACGTTCAAAGCCGGTGTGTTTGTCGTGAGGTGGAGAGATTCACTGGTGGCAAATTCGTCCCACCTCACTCCCAACACCCAACGTAATGCACGATTCTGGATACGTTGAAATTTAGTGCGTTTGTCTTGGCAATTAACGTCAGAGCGAGTGGAAAGTAAGAGAGTAGAGGACGAATGAGTGCTTTGTAAAGATGCAGTTTTGTCTTGGGACTGGCTCCTCGCAGCTTATATAACCTTGAAAGTGCAGTTCCCGCCAGTATGGTCTTTGTAGTAATGTGAGATTTTAAGTTCAGTGTGTGGTCGAGGGTAATACCAAGGACAACTGTCGTGAAGGAGCGTGGGATGGGGGTACGGGAAGTGCTTGTTTTGAGTTCGACAGGAGTGGGGACATCACGCATTCTATGGAAGTAAGTGATTTTTGACTTATTTGGGTTGGTTTTGATGCGCCATAATAATTCCCAGGCGGTAATCCTGTCGACCTCTCTTTGTGTTCTGCGTGCAAGGAAACGAAAGTTTTCATGTGTTGTGAGTTGAGTGATGTCGTCTGCGTAAGAAAGGGTAATTGTGTTTGGGTAAAGAGGTTCAGGTAAATCCTTCGTGTAGAGTATATATAGGGTGGGAGATAGGACAGAGCCTTGGGGTACACCCGCTTTTAATGTGAAATAGTCCGAATAATGATCTCTGAACTGTATACGCATCGTTCGGCCATCTAAAAAATGACATAATAATTTCATCATATTTATAGTTAAGTCAAAGGAAGTGCAAAGTTTGTATTTTAATCCTTCATGCCAAACAGTGTCAAAAGCTTTCTCTACAAACTTTGGCGACAAGGGCGGAGGTACAGTTCTGGGCTTTATTGATACGTATATAGTTCAGGATTATATTCAAAACGTCTTGGGAAGATCCAGCCACAGTGCCCTCTGCCCTATATATACGACAAGTCACGTGACTCACATCTGCACATGCGCACACCTCTCCATTTCCTTCTATCCTCACCTTTCACACATTTCATTTCCCTATTCTACCTTTACGTTATCTCTTCAAACCCCAGTTCTTAAACCAAGCTATTCTATGTAACCCAGAGATTCTTTTGACATAAATTCTGGAACACATAGATGTTTATTATAGCAAAAACAGGCATTGTAAGGATTGCAGCAGAGAT